TAAGCCCCTGGCATCAGCTCCTCATAGATTGTCTTTCTTTTTGTTGTTGTTGTTTTGGCCCCAACAAGATTACCCAGTTTCCTGTGGAAGGCAAAGCACACATACATCAAAGAACATAAGAATCCATGCCAACCGGTACGTCCCATGCTCAATGCAAGAGCAGCCTCCCGATCCAAACTCTCATCTCTGAAATAAATGTGTTTCCCACAGCATGCTGACACCACCCATCGGCTTAAGAATCAGTGAGAGCAGCAATGCATACCTCGTGTAGATCCCACTTGATCATGAGGTATTATTTCTTTCCTGTTTTGTTGAATTTTTGACTAAAGTTGTTTTGAAATTGTTTTCATCTATGTTCCTAAAGTATATTGGTCTGTGGTGTTCCCATTTGGAGGAGAAACGCTTTCCATTTCTCTCCACCAGTTAAGAGACACAGACTAGCAGAATGGATAAGAAGGTATGAGCCCAAACCCTTCAATTACATGGAGATTGACTAATACCTGACTTTAACAAACAGCGGGAAAGTGAAGAAATAAGGAGCACAATTTAAACATTGCTTGAAACAGATGAGAGCGAAATGAACCAAAATACAGTGAACCAAACACCGGGGACCCAGCAGAAGGAAGGAGCACTCACAGGGCAGGTTAGAGCAATAAGTGCAGAAAGAATTGAAATAAATCCTGTAACACAGCAACTACAGCAAGACCGCACAACCACCCTCCGACACTAGACGGAAAGAAATAATAAAGATTAGAGGGAAAAGATATAAAAATTTAGAAACTATAGGGAAAAATCAAGACAAGAAATTGGTTCTTCAAAAGGATCAACAAAATTGATAAACTGGCAAACCTAACAAAGAGGAGGGGAAAGGCATCTATTCCAAATAAGAAACACATTGGGCAACATCACAACAGCAGCAACGGAAGTAAAAGCGATAATCATACAACATTATGAAAACTAGTCTTCCACAAATGAAAATCTAGAGGCAATGAATGCACCTCTAGAATCACATTACTGACTTGAATGAACCCAGACTGAGGTACGCAACCCAACAGACCTATAACACAAGAAAAACATCTGGTCATTAAAGATCACCCAACATTAAAATGTCTGGGACTAATAGTTTTACTGGGGAATTTTAACACACGTTTTGAGATGCATTAACACTAATCTTACCTGAACTATTTCAGCATATAGGAAAGGATGCGATACTACCAAACTCATTTTATGAAGCAAGTATAACTTTGATCCCTAAGTCAGGAAAGTCATCAACAGAATAAAAAAATGATCAAACAATAGCCCTTAAGAATATAGACCCCCCCAAAAAAA